AGGCAAATCTGCTGCACAAGACCTTTTTAAAGCGTTAAAGAGCAAAGATGTCAGCTTGAGGACTAAGGTACGCCTGACCCAAGCCATGGTATTTTCAATAACCTCATAGCACGTGAAAGCTGGACAGTGAATAAGGAAGACCATAGAAGAATTGATGCTTTTGAGTTGTGGTGCTGGAGGAGAATATTGAAAGTGCCAAGGGCTGCCAAAAGAATCAACATACCTGTTTTGAAAGACGTGCAGCTAGAGTGCTCCTTGGAGGCCAAGATGGCCAAATTTCATCTTTCATACTTCGGACATATTGTCAGGAGGGACCAGTCATTGGAGAAGGATATCATGTTCAGTAGGGTGGAGGGTCAGAGAAAAAGAGGAAGACCCCCAACAAGATGGATTGGCCAAGTGGCAGCATCGATGGACTCAAGTGTGGCAACAGTAGTGAGGTTGGCCCAGGATTGGGCAGTGTTTCGTTCTGCTGTGCATAAGGTCACTATGAGTTGGTACCAACTCGATGGCACCTAACAACAACAACAACTACCCCTGGAAATTACTAGGAATAATTTTTCCATAGTCCCATTAGACCAGTTCCTACTCAACCTCCCCAAAGCATAAGGTTTCTTAAGGATAATCTCAGGCTTTTCATTCCAATCTTCCTTTCACCCCTTCTCCTTTCCAAGGGTAGGGAAGCGATCATAAGCAGGTTTACAGATGGTGCTTGGTTACCACAGCCAACAGCTCTGACTAAGATCGCAATAGAAAGAAGGTCCTAGACAGAATGAGAGAAAAAATGTAGTAACAAAATTTTAATTCATAAAGACCAGACTTACTCGTATGAAGTAGAACACGGGAGAACAGGGCCCTAGACACCATTCAAAGGTAGAACTGATCATTCCCAGAGACCACCTTACAGCCAAGCAACAGACAAGCCTAGCAAAACAATCACACCTGTGAGGTACACACTTCTCAGAACATTCAACTACACAAGACCAGAGGGGCGGCATTTGCCCAAAAGTAAAATTCAGGAGGCAGAAGGGGACAAGGAAAGCTGGGCCAATTGAAATGGGGAGGCCAGGATGGAGTGGGGAGAATGCTGACATATGAAGGGGATTGAAGCCAGTGTCAGGAAACCATGTACAAATTGTTGAATGGGAAACAAATTTGCTTTTATACATTTACTCAAACAAACAAAAAAAAGGCAGATTTACATTATTCAGGGTTGGCCTGCTCAGCCACGCACATTTCCCTAGATTAAGAAATCTGATTGTAAATGCCAATTATGGCAGTGGTGGCTATGTGCCATCAAGTTAGTTCTGACTCATAGCAAGCCTGTATAGGATTTTCGAAGCTGTAAATATGGGAGCAGAAAGCCTCCTTTCTTCTGCGGAATCACTGGCTGTGAAGCGCCGTTGAGTTAGTTCTGACCCATAGCAACCTTGGATAACAGGGGAGGGGAAATACTTTCTGCAAAAATTTGTAATATTATTTGCAGGCCATACAAAATTTATCAACTTAAAAATTAGCCTGCTGTGGCGCTGTGGGATAATGCACTGGACTGCAAGGTCAGTTTGAACTGCAAGGTCGGTGGCTCAAGCTCACCAGCCACTCCTTGGAAAACCAGTACAGGGTTGCTCTGAGTCAGAACCAACTCGACAGCACTAAACAATATGATGGCTGGAACTGCGATTGCCTCGGCAACACTAGACCAAACTATTTTGCAGGCCTTATACGGAGTCCTAAGGAGCTCTGGTAGCGTAGTGGTTACTAGTCAGCTGCTAACCTCTAGGTCAGCCAATCTAAACTACCAGCTGTTCCACACAAGGATGAGGTTTTCTGTTCCCATAAAGATTTACAGCCTTGGAAACTCTGTACAGGGTCATTGAGTCGAAATAGACTACACGGCACATCACCACCACCACCACCATACGGTATCCTGGTGTGTGGCATGGCGGGTTAATGTGCTAGACTTCAAACTTGGTTTGAACAACAAGGTTGGCGATTCAAGCTTACCAGTCACTTCTCAGAAACCCAATAGAGGGTTGCTATGGGTCAGAACCGACTCCACCGCATTTAACAACATATGGCCCACGGGTTTGACGTTCTCTACTTCTGCTGTATGGAGTTCTGGTGTGGCGCTGTGGGCTAAGGCATCAGACTATAAAGTTGTTTGAACTGCAAGGTCAGTCGGTGACTTCAAGCTTACCAGCCTCTCCTTGGAAACCCTATATAGGGTCATTATGAGTCAGAATCGACTTGATGGCACTTAACAACTTCTGCTATATAGGGTTCCCAAAGAGTGGCTGGTGAGTTTGAACTGCCAACTTGTGGCTTATCCTACAGTGCCACGGTAGGACTCCTTATTAAAGCTAGGCATTGTAAAATATAACTTTCCTTAGGTTTTAAAATTTGATTTAAAATATTCCAATTAAAAAGTCTAGAACATTTTAATAACCACTTTCAAGAGGATCTTTAATTTGATAAAGCTCATTTATGTTGAACAGAGTAAATTTTTTGAAGCAGTACCATTTACAATTCAAATTTCTTTAAACAAGTTAACAGCATTTATACATTTAAGCTATTTGATATTCTTTTAAGCAGCACTTCAATTGCTTGACCCAACAAGCAAAATCTTCCCAAGTGCTTAACTCATAAATACAATAAATTAAACATATAGTTCTTAGAAACATTCCAGTATTTTGGCAGATATATGACATTTAAAAAATACCTTTCAATTATAAATCACAAGTCTTAAAAATGTCAAGCACTTTAAACCAGAATTTTAAGGCCTATGTCATATACTGTAATATGCCAACTGTTTAAATACTTCAAAGTGCAAATACTACATACTTTGTCCCGATGTATAGAAACACCATTCCCAAAGGCAACACTGAAGTGCTGGTGACTATCAGAATAGTTTCTAGCCTTTTGTATAATCATTACATAGTTCATCTGAGAACCACAGCACTTTGTGAGATGTCATGAAAGGGGATGAATCCATTTAGGTCCCAGGCAGGGAGTGCTGGGACGACAAGGAGCTCATGTTTGGGAGGTCTAGGTGAATAACGTTAGCTAATGCAGTGTTGAATGAGAACAGTAATACCCAACCTAGGATGGTTCTGGTGAGAAATCAAGTAACATACTGGGAAACCCTGGCCACATGGTACTCAAATGTGGGCAGCTACAGCTGTATGGGAGTCCTGGTGTGGTGCTGTGGGTTAATACGTCAGACTGCAAGGCCATTTGAACTGTAAGGTCAGCGGTTCAAGCTCACCAGCTGCTCCTCGGAAACCATATACAGGGTCACTATGGGCCGGAATTGACTCAACGGCACTTGACAACAACAGCTGTTATGTAGAATTTCAACTTTCAGGTTTTACTAGTCTGCAAATTACCAGCATACCTATGACACTGAATTGTTGAAAAAGCTTTTAAATAGATATCTTCTCTGAATAAATTAATCTGAAGACACAGCTTCTTACCCTGACTAGTCCCATATTCAGGACAGCCAATGTCTGATTTTTTCACAAGTGCCATGAATGACTCTCAGCATCCCTCCTTCTTACACTTTATCAATTCATGAAAGGCCAACTAGAGCATACGCTGTTACTAGAACATATGTTCCCCACTTGTTTCTTTCCTAAGTAATATATATTTTAAAAATCTAAATTCACAGAATTTAAATCAGGAGAGAAGATTCCATGACAAACCCTTCCTGTAAAAAGGTTTTTGCTTGAGACACACCTCCTTACAATGAATTACTTCTTGTGAGAGAAGACTTGGGAGGTGGCAATTGGGAAATACATGTCAGGAGCAGTGAAAATCCATCAGGAATTGATACATCTCAGAAGACCAAAAAGAAAATACAAATCTCTTTATAAAAAAACGTGATTTCCATTGAAATATGTAAAACTTCACCCGGTTTTCAAAGGATGGTGTTTTCAGAGAATGGTGCTGAGGAATAAGAAGGAAAATATCTCACAGCATTTCAGAGAAAATGGTTTTTAAAAGGTAGAAGACAGGTACAAGACAAACTCCAAGCAAATGTCTGAAAGGGTAATTACAATAAAACCTGCAAAAGTCAGATCTTGTGTGAGCTGGAAACCTATCAGAATAGAGTGTGACATAAAAGTGGTAAGACTGCAGGCACCCTGTCAAAGGTGGAGAATGTGTGAGACTCGGAAAAACACAGCCATTCCATGGACTGCCAGTTTTTCTCAGGTTTCATTGTTTTATTAAGAGAAATGTTACCATCCCCCTTGCCTGAAGTCAGCTGAAAACCTGACAGAAATGCTGTATATTTAGGGGCAGAACAAAAAAAGTGGTCCAATAAGTCTATGACACAAAGAGAAAGTCAAGGTTCAAGAAATGAAAAACCAACTGGGACGAAAAGCACACTAGAGCTGGCCACTGATTTGCCACAGTTGGAAAATGATACAGTCTACCAGCTCCAACAGAGCCCATGACCCAGATATGTGCTGACACCAAAGAGAGAGGAGAAGGGATGAGCTCAGCAGGGGTGTGGAACCCCAAGGGCACTAATGAGTATCAATAAAGGGATTTTTGTCTTGCTGCAGTTTGTTTTGCTTGTCATTTGTTTTCTAGGACGGAGTAAAATCATACAACGCCTTACACCATTGACAAAATTCCTAGCTGAAGCCCTCTCCAAAAAGGTTTCATATTTGAATTCTAATCTGAATGCTTACCCAAATTTTGGTACAAACCTTACTGTACTTACATTAACATCAACTCATCCAAGTTGAACAAAACAATGACCAAAACAACTGACCTCTTTTTGACGAAGGTATCATAAAATAACACAAACTACATGGAACATCACATGTCTTTAAGCAGGTACTAATTTTTCCAATCATAATTATTTCAGTCTCTTCCATAAAAATGCTTCTGTAAATAGGATTCTTTTTGTGTGTGTATCAAAAAAACTCTCTTTCCAATAGTTAACAGAGTCAAGTCTATTCCAAACCAGTTCTTGTGGTATTCAGCAGGTCCTATGATTCTATCTTGTTTTCTAGAACTCCATCAGATTTATATTCCAATGTAAAAGTGCTTTCCTTTGTTGGTGTGGTAGCAAAAAGCATTTCCATCATCCCCAGGGTTTCTAGCAGTTCTCTTTGGTAATCAATCTCTTTTTCTACAAGTCCCTGCAGTAACAAAAACTTTTTATCCACTACAGGTGACTGACCAATCACAGGCAGATATATATCTAGAAAGAGAAAAAAATATATAACTGGAAACATCTTTCTATATAGTAAGTAAACAGTATTTAGGACAATCAATTTACAATTTATATGAAAGCCTAATAGTCTTTTTTTTTTTTTTAAATAGAATTTTACTCTGTAGTAAATGTGTTATAAAGGAAGTAAGTTTATGTTAAGGAATATCCACAAAAAGAATTTTTTTCAGTTACCTTGGCATGAAAGGTATCATCCTTTAAGTTTGAACAGAAAGAAAGTTGCACATAAACTTTATGGTTTCTAGTAATTTCTTTGAATCCTGACATAATGGCTTTGCTTTGTGGTGACATGAAGGATGTCAAACATCAATGTAAAATGAAAGACATTTCCTGACAAGGCAAATGTTCAGTTCTGAGCTTCTGGATGCAGTTAGCCTCCCACATGAACCAGAAGAGGCAATAGTTTCTTTCTGCAGCACCATCAGCGTGTGGCCTGCCGCATCACCTCCCAACCTCAGGGAGAGGAGAGGCTCTCAGCTCTATCCAGGCGATGTTTCACAAGTGCGTGGGGGAGATGTGCTTCTTTACTTGAGAGCTTCCAGAATGTAGGCAAGCCACTTCACTATCTGGGTGGCATGCAGTCCTAAAGCATGTACCATGAGATGGAAGGACATATTTCAACAAGTGAAAATGGAGGGAATCGGTCACCATCCTGAATGCTGTGAAGAGCTAACAGAGCATTCAAACAAAAGATTAATAAACAATGTCTACACAATTTATGGCAGGACCTGAAGATGAAAATTACATTTTCAACCACCCACATTCTGGACCACCTGCCTGGAGTTGGGGTTGACATTGAAATCCAATTGTAATGAATGTCTACACATGGTGAGTGGTCAAACAAGAACCCATGATAGAACAGAACACATCGATGCTGTTCTTTGGAAGATGACTCTGAAGAGGTTAGAATCCTTTGTTCATGGCTCTGCTGATTCAGCCATCCAAAGCCTGAAGGTCCTGTCATATGAGCAAGTGGCTTTGAAGTGCCCATCGGAAGAAAGATCGAGGCCCATCACTTTGCCTTCATGGCCAGCCAGTCACCAGCCTGGGTGGGTCCAAACCTTGGCTCTGCTATCGTAGGCTCCAGTGAGCAACAAGTTCCCATGAATAGGCTCAAACTTTACTCCGGTCACTAAGTTCTGATGGGCAGGGATAGTGTAGACGCAGCACCGCTGTTGAAGGTCCCACCTTTTGCAGGTGTTGTCACCACTACCAGTGGCAATGTGCTAGTCATTGGGGTAGAAGTGTATTCCATAGATTTCCTTCAGGTGGCCGTCTAGGAACATGATACAGCACCCAGTGTGCAGGTCCCAAACCCAACCAAATGTATCCAGTCCTCCAGTGCCAGCCAGAGAGCTGTCTTGATAGAAGGCAATGTCATGCACACCCATGCTGTGGCTCTCGTGATGCAGCATCTCCTCTTGAGCCTCCAAATCCCACAAGCTCTATGAACAGTCCTAGCAGGCAGGACCCAGAAAACATCCTGCGGGGTGCCACATTATTCAAGCCACGTGCACTGTATGGCCTTCTATATTTGCCACTGGTTCATCACTGTCACGGTTCCAAAGCTTCACAGAACCATCAGCAGCACAAGGTCAGGTTGACATCGTTTTGATCCAAGGAGTCTGTGGATGTGGGAAATACAATTGTTCCTACATTTGTGTATGGCCTTGAAGAGTGTGAAGGAGATTGCAATCAGAAATAGACCAGAGCTTGCAAAGCCCACTCCAACAAGCTGTGGCCAGCATTTTAGAATGGGGGCTAAACTGACAATAGAAGATAGGCTGGTTATCCCCAATCTGCCTACAGAAATTATTCAAAGACCGGAGAGATTTGTGCAGTTCTTGCAGCTGAGATGTCCTAGTTGTCTCAGGTATCTCTTTATGGAGATGAACCTCTTCCAAGAGTTTCATTGCCCTGGGCAGTGAATAAGTAGCAATCCATAGTCAAGCAACCTTTAGGCTGTTTGGTCCTTCATGGTACCAGGTTTGCTGATACTCCTTTTTGGACTCCTTAGATTTTTCATCATCTTTCTTCATCTTTTTTAAGGCATCCGTACCAACCACTGAAAGGATATTTTTAAATCATTGTTTGCTTTCAGCAGGGTCCTCTCCAAAAAGTGTGATGGTTTCCCCCGCAGGGCTCTAAGGCAAGCCTTGACCTCAGAGTCACCTGTGGCACAATGATCTGCCAAGCTAGCTTCCTTCTCTCAACCTCAACCAGTATTTATGTCTGTCGCTCAATGATGGGCTCTTCAATTTCAAACATTACTCCAGAGGTTATATCAATACTTCCTGCTTCAATTCTTGCTTTAAGTACTTCTTTCCCCAAGATTCCAGACGCTCCCTCTCCTTCTCTTCCAAACTTCCATAGTAGATGTGGGATTCCTTCACAAGGGGAGCACCTAAGTCATCAGGTGCCTGAGAGATTTTGGTCGCCGCAGAGAAGGGTCGAGAGGAGGCCATGCTAGTCTCCACAGCCGTGAAAACCCTAACAGTCCATTTGAATGAATATTTCAAAACATTACAGAGAGTGCAGAGTAGACATTTGACTTGTTTCTATTTTCTCATAAAAAAATTATCCTGGTCATTATAAACGTTTATACAATTTTAAGATCGCTAGTCCCACCAATTATTAAAAGTGCTACCACTGTATCCATTTTATATTTTAAACACCATGTTTATAGTTTTCATTGATGACACTATTCTACAATGCTATTTCTACAAGTATTTTAATATTTATAGTCTCAAGGTTTAACTACTTACCAATAATTATTTCAGCAACATTTATCAAAACAGGAGCAAATCTTGGCTGAGATAGATTCCTACAAAGAAAAAATTTTGATTTTTTTGAAACTTGCAAATGTTTTTGAAATTGCTAAAATAGATTTACTTACATCTATTCTACGATTCCGGAGTCCTGGTATGGTGCTGTAGAATAAGCACCGGACCACGAGGTCAGTTTGAACTATTAGGTTGGCAGTTCAAACCCACCAGTCACGCCTCAGAAACACTATATAGGGTTGCTATGAGTCAGAAATGTCTCAATAGCATTTAACAACAGCAACAATCTATTCTTCCAGCGCTCTACAAATATCAAACTTAAAAAAAAAGTTTCTCATTTGCTAATAAAGTTTTTCATGAAGCATAAGGTATACCTTATCAAAAAATTAAGAATGCGACTGAGTTCCTTTTCATCCCGACCTGCAAGAGCATTTGCCAGGACTCCTCTTCGATTTAGCTCCTTTATGATAGAAACCGTAACTTCAGGTGTCTTTATTGTAATTTCTGGCTATAAAATTTAAGAATAAAAAAATAAACATGAGCAAGCAAGACAGCACAAGAAAAAAAAAAAAAAGGTTTGGCAACTGTTAATTAGTAACAATTATCAAGCTTAAGAGGATTTTGTCTTCACAGTTCCAAGTCACGGTAATGTATATGACATTAAAGCAAGTCTGAAAAACATGCTCCTCACCCACCTCAAGGACTCTGTCGAGCGCCTTAGAGATCTGGAAATTTTTCAGATCCTTGTCATACAATTCCAGATGTTTTTTGGATGGCCTATTGATGCTAATGTCATCCTAGATTGAAAAGTAAATTTATAGAGAAGGAAAAATTAAGATTTGCAGAAATTTCCATATAATAGTAACCTTCATAGTGGTACATTAAAACAAACAAAACACAGGAAAACCCTGAACTATATCCTAAATAATGTTCTCATGCCCATAATATACATGACATGAAATGAAAATACAAAGGAACAAGCACATGTTCTCACTTGCCTATGATTTTAACTATAACACACACACACTCTCACACACACTAACTCAATTCTGGGCCAAAATTCCTCATCTTAATTCTCTTCAATTAAAATGCCTTAGTAAAAGCAGAACTCAAACTAATGCAATCTAATCCCAACAATTTTTTTTTTTTTTTTAACCAACAATGAAACTCTGGATACATCCCAATCTTCCCTAATACAAATGGGATCATTCTGGCTCTACTACTTTTAAGGGTTAACTGTGTATTAAAAGACATTGTTGGGACTATAGTAAAGCACTATCACATCATATTATGATGCAGGGTAGTAAATAAAGGAGATCTTGTTATCCATTACTTGTTTGAGATAGAGAAAAGCAAAATCAACATATACATAGATTATATGTACATAAATCAAGTTAAATGTCATCTGATCTACACTTTTCAATAATATCACAAGGCGAAGTTGACTACTGTAACAAATTTCACCTTTAAAAATAAATGACTCTTGTCCCCTTAGCACCCTGCGTAGTTCCCTTTCCCTGTGCCCAGGGTCCAGCGCCTGCGTCACAGTGCACTGTCACCAGTGTAACCATCTCCTACTGCCTCCCTCCTTTTCCTTTTTAATGTCCTTCCCTCAGCCATGGAATATACAAGTTGCCCTGTGTCTTTTTCTTCCCCACAACTTACTTAAGAACGAATCCTAATTCATCACTTTTCTTATTCACAAACAAAAATGACTAATTCTTCCTAACATAAGACCAGATTTGGGATAACACCTCTGCCAACTCTACTACCTCATTTCCTCTGTCACTGACTTGAGATGGGCAAAGTTGTCAATCATCTATGTTATTACAGACTGGATAACTTCATATTTTGATAGGATACAGTAGTTACCCCCTAAATGAATCCTTAGGAATGTGCCAGTTTACCCAAGATGCCCATATTCAGCAAAAACATAAAGGAGGAAATAGCAGACGGAATCTATGTATAAAGAGTATAAGTTTTGTGTCTGGACTATATGAGTTCAGAGTCTGTATCTCTAATTATTAGAAGTGCAACCTTGAATAAGAGGCCTAAACAGTTGTGACTATTTTTTTTTTAAAAATCACTTTGTAATAAAAACTATACTTAATACTTAAAAAATATATATATTTTTTTAATATGAGAAATACACAAATACCCGTTGCTTCAAGAAACTTTTTCCTTTAATAAAGGTTCGATATGCAGGTCTTCGTCTCCTGGAAGATGTATCCTTCTTTGCTTCTGACTTCCGATGCTTAACACTCAGTATTCCATTGGTCATTCCTACAACTATCATCTCATCTTCATGCTAACAGCAATCAGAAAAATAAGTTAGTCTATTCCTAATTCATTAAAGAACTTTTCCCCCAAAATAACATTCATAACCTCTGCTGCTTATCCATATTCTCACCAAATGTTCCAACAAGAAACACATACCCTGCATAACAGTGATCCAAGACAAAAAGATAGAATACTATTTTTTGCAGCTAGGATATCATTATGTGGACAGAACTCATTATAATTGATGTAAAATATCACAGAGTTTGTATAACAATACACAGTTAATGATATCTTGGGAGAGTTTCAAAATAGTATTTTTCTGCACCTTAGTATTACAAAAGGGTTACAGATTGGCAAGACTTTCCTTGCTAAGAAAATATTGGGAAATCAGTTTTTCTTTTCCCAATACAGATTTCTACATAAAGTATTCAAATTTCCTTTTTCCCAAATCTGGCTCCTCATGAAACCTGAATGGAGGTTTATCCCAGAAAAAGCAGTCAACCAAAAATAGAGGTATTTCATTCTGTTGTCCCTGTTCTTTATTATTAGTATTTTACTTATAGAGCCACCATGCCTTTCTAAAGTATTCTAATGCCCTTGATGAAATGTGTTGATGAGAGATATACCAATTTGCATACTATTTAGTGTTAGCACTGTAATTAGCTGGAAGCTAGTCAGCGAGTAGCACCTAAATCTCAGCTCATGTTAAGTTAGTAGGATGAGTCACATATTGTAGCAACTGTGCTAGTGCAAACATTCAATGTGACAAAAAGAAACTTGTTATTGCTAAATGTCATCAAGTCAGTTCCAATGGGCTAATGCATCAGACTGCAAAGCCATTTGAACTGCAAGGTCAGTGCTTCAGGCTCACCAGCTGCTCCTTGGAAACCCTATACAGGGTCACTATGGGTCTGAATCGACTCGACAGCACTTCACAACAGCAACATAAAGCTTCCAGGGAGCGGCTGGTAAGTTTCAACAGCCGACCCTGCAGTTCAAACCTTGTGGTCCAGTGCTTATCCTAAAGCACCACAATACTTATTAAAATACAAAAAATAAACCCTAAAATTCCATTTCGGTTTTACTGAACAGGCAAGCTTAGGGAAGAGAGCTAAGCATACTTACTGCAAGTGCAAGACTCAAAATTGAAGCAGCATAATCAAAACTGTGGACTACTTTGTAAGAAGCTGTGCTATATACTTTCACCTTCCTAGAAAAAACAAAAGCTTTGTTACAAATCATCTTGGAAATTAGTACAAAATACAAATTTTCTAATTGTTGAAAAGTCAACATAAATATTAAAACATATGTAACAGTTAAGAATAATTGTTAGTTACAAACTGAATTCTTTAAAAATGAACTTTCAGACCACCACTTGTAAAACAAACAGAAGATGGAGCACAAATCAATGTCATCTGCAGACAAAACTCACAAATAAAGGAAAAGTATAAAGGAAAGCCCAATGGAAGGCAAAGGGCTAGGCCTTCTAACATTGGCACTACTGACATTTCAGACTGGGATATTCTTTACTGTCATGGGTAATGCATCATAGGATGGTTAGCAGCATCCTTGGCCTCTACTGACTAGGTGCTAACAGCAGCCACCCCAAAGCTGTGACAACCACAAACATCTCTAGACATTGCCAACCATCCCCTGCAGGGCAAAAACCACTGCAGGTGAACAACCACTGCAAACAGAGACAATTTACACGTAGCTTTTTAGGGACTTATCTAGAAAACAAATCCTAAACTTTCAGTAATACCATTTCAGAGGATTTACCATATGTTTGCACAATGATTTCCTTTGTACTAAAAATACTTTCTAGCTTTTAAAATATGCAAATATTTTAATATATATGCTGAAAACCAAGAATTTTCATAATAGTGAAAAAAGGTAGTATGAAATAAGATGACCAGCAACAGATGAATATAAGGAAATTCTACAACTGTGCTATGCCATACTGTAACCACTAGCTACCTGTAGCTACTGAGCCCTTGAACTCATGAAATGAGGAACTAGGGTTTTTAGTTTAATCAGTTTAATTTAAAAAACTGAAGCAATAGAAATTATTGTTTGTTTCAACACAACTTTGTTAGGACTACATTTCACTTAATCACTATAAGATATTATTGTATCACAATATATGATACGGTAAGTGTCACTAGATGCTTACCTGTTTCTTGTTATTGTTGTTAGATGCCATTCGGTCAGTGCCAATTCATACTGACCTTGTGTACAAAAGAACAAAACACTGCCCAGTGCTGCACCAACCTCATAATCATTGCTACACCTGAGCCCACTGCTGCTGCCACTGCGCCAATACATCTCACTGGGGGCCTTCCTCTTCTCTGACACTCCACTTTACCAAGCATGATGTTCTTCTCCAGAGACTGGTCCCTCCTGATAATATATCCGAGGTATGAGAGACAAAGTCTGGCCATTGTGGATTCCAAGGAGCATTCTGGCTTGTATTTCTTCCAACACAGACTGGTTTGTTCTTTTAGTAGTAGTTCATGGTACTTTAACTATTTTAATACCATAACTCAAATGCATCAATTCTTCTAGCCTACAGTTGGAGATTTACTATCCAACTTTCACATGCCTATGAGGATATTAAAAATACTATGGTTTGGGTCAGGTGCACCTTAATCCTCAAACTGCCATCTTTGATCTTGAACACTTTGAAGAGGTCTTGTGCAGTAGTTTTGTCTCATGCAAATCATTAGATTTCTTGACTGCTGCTTCTGTTGAGTGTACATAGTATATCCAAGCACTTACCTTTGACAACTTCAATCTTTTTTCCATTTATCATGATGTTATTAATCAGTCCAGTGGTGAGGATTTTTATTGTCTTTATGTTGAGGTGCAACACATACTAAAGGCTGTGGTCTTTGATCTTCATCAGTATTTTAAGTCCTCTTCCCTTTCAGCAAGCAAGACTGTATTATCTGCACAACACAAGTTGTTAATGAGTCCTCCTCCAATCTCGATGACATTTCTTCTTCATATAATCCAGTTTCTTGGATTATTTGCTCACCATAAAAATTCAGTAAGTATGGTAAAAGAATAAAACTTGGCACGCACATTTCCTGTTTTTAAACAATATAATGTCTCCTTGTTCTGTTTGATCTATGTTCTTTCGGTCTATGTGCAAATACCTCACTGGCAGAATTAGGTGTCCTAGGACACCCTTCTTCCAATTGTTATCCACAGCTTATCAAGATCTACACAGCTGAAAGCCTTTCCATAATTAATAAAACACAGGTAAACATCTTTCTGATATTCTCTTTCAGCCTATACTCATTTGATGGCAGCCATGATATATCCCTCATTCCACATCCTCATCTGAATCCAACTTGAATCTCTGATAATGTACTGTTGCAGTTGCTTTTGATTTATCTTGAACAAAATTTTACTTGCATGTGGTATAAATAATTTTGTCTAATGATTTCCACATTTTATTGGGTCACCTGTGTTTGGAATGGTCACAAATATGGACCTCTTCCAGTCAGTTGGCCAGTTAGCTGTCTTCTAAATTGTTTGGCATAGATGAGTGAATGCCTCCAGTGCTGCATCAGTTTGTTAAATGATTTCAATTTGTATTTCATCAATTCCTGGAACCTTGTTCTTTGCCAATGCCTTCAGTGCAACTTAAACTTCTTCCTTCAGTATCACTGGGCTCTTAATCAAATGCTACTTCATGAAATGAATGAACATCAATCATTTCTTTTTGGTACGGTGACTTTGTGTATTCCTTACGTCTTCTTCTGTTGCTTTCTGTATCATTCAATATTTTGCCAGAGAATCCTTCAATGTTATAAGTCGAGGCTTGAATTTATTATTTCAACTTGAAAAATGCTGAGTGGGTTCTTCCCTTTTGATTTTCTAACTCCAGGTCTTTGACCATTTCATTATAATATATGACTTTGTCCTCTCAAGCTATGCTTTGAAATTTTCTGTTCAACTCTTTTACCTCCTCATTTTTTCTACTTGGTTTAACATCTCTATACTGGAAAGCAAGTTTCAGAGTCTCTTCTGACATACATATTGGTCTTTTCCTTCTTTCTTGTATTCTTAATAATCTTTTCCTTTCTTCCTCTGGATGCCATCCCACAACTCTTCTTGTCTTTGGTCTTTAGTGCCTAATGCATCAAATCTGTTCTTCAGATGATCTCTAAATGCAGGTGAGATATATTCAAGGTCATATATTGGCTCTCATGGACTTGTTTTAGTTTTCTTTAGCTTCAGCCTGAACTTGCATATGAGTCATTGATGGTCTGTTTCACAGTCTCCTCCTGGCCTTGTTTTTGGCTGATGAAATGGAGCTTTTCCATCATCTCTTTCCACAGATGTAGTCAATTTTATTTCTGTGTATTCCGTCTGGTAAGGTCCATATGTACAGTCATCTTTTATGTTGTTTAAAAAAGGTATTTGCAATGAACAAGTCATTCGTCTTGCAAAATTCTATCATGTAATCTCCAGCATGTTTTTAATCATCAAGGCCATATTTTCCAACTACTGACCCTTCCTTGTTTCTAACCTCTGCATTCATTCCAATCACCAGTAATTATCAGTACATCTTGATCGCATGTTTGATGATTTTCAGACTGAAAAGTTGGTTGTTAAGTGCCATCAAGTCAGTTCCAGCCCATAGTGATCCTGTATACAGTTTCCAAGGAGTGACTGGTGAGCTTGAACCGCCGACTGTGCTGTCCAGCCCATTAACCCACAGCATCACACCAGGAATTCTTCAACTTCATCATCACTGGCTTTAGGGGTTGGTGTTAAATTTTAATAATAGTGGTATCAATGCAGGATAAAGTTCATATGAACCACAAGGTGGCAGTTCAAACCCACTAGCCCTTCCTCAGAAATTATATTCAGGGTTGTTATTGGTTGGAACCAACTCGATGGCACTTAACTACTACTGGTCTTCCTTGTAGGCGTATGGGATTTTATTCTATCACAGACAGCACTGTACTTCAAGACAGATCTTGATATGTTCTTTTTGACAATTAATGTGATGCCATTCCTCTTCAATTTGTCATTTCTGGCATAGTAAACCATGTGATTGTCAGATTCATAATGGCCAGTATCAGTCCATTTAAGCTCAATAATGCCTAGGGTATTGATGTCTATGTGTTTTGTTTCATTTTTGACAACTTCCAATTTTCCTAGATTCATACTTCATACATTCCATGTTCTGATTATTAATGGATGTCTACAGCTGGCTCTCATTTTGAGTTGTGCCCCATCAACAAATGACGGTCTTTAAGGCTTTACTGCATTTGCACCATCAAGGGCAACTCTACTTTGAGGAGGCAGCTCTTCCCTAGTCGTATTTTGAGTGCCTTCCAACCTGAGGGGCTTATCTTCCTGCACTTTATTGGATAATATTCTGGTGTTCTTCATCATATTTCAACAGTCAATATTCCACTGCTATTGGTAAGGTTTTCAGTGACTAAATATTCGGAAATAGTTCATCTCTCCTTCCTAATCTGTCTTAGTCTGGAAGCTCACTGAAACCTGTTGACCATGGCTGACCCAGCTGGTATTTAAAATACTGGGACATGGCTTTCAGAATCACAGCAACATGCAAGGCACCACAGTATGACAAACTGACAGACAAGTGGTGGACTTGTTTTTAGTATCTTGCTAATAATTTTCATATTGATTACACGTTGAAATAATATTTAGATACACTTGGCTAGATAAGATATATTAAAATTAATTTGACAGTTCTTTTTACATATTTCACTCTGTCTACTAAAGTATTTTAAATTACATATGAGTCTTATGCCACTGAGTTGATTCCGACCCATAGCAACCCTGTATAGGGTTTCCAAGGAGCAGCTGGTGAGCTTGAACCACCGACCTTGCAGTTCAAACAGATTTGCAGTCTGGCACATTAACCCACACCACCACACCAGGACTCCTTACCTACCTAACATTAACTAACGCAATATTAAATACCTATTAAAATAGAAATGTCACTTAAATTATTTTTTAAACTTCAAGAGAAAAGCTGAAAAATAAAATATACGTAAACATTAGTAATTTTCAAAATATATGTACAATAATGATTTTAAAAGAAGCTATTTGATTATTGTTACTAAGTGCCATCGAGTCAGTTCCCACTCACAGAGATCCTGTATAGGGTTTCCAAGGAGTGCCATCGAGTCAGTTCCCACTCACAGAGATCCTGTATAGGGTTTCCAAGGAGTAGCTGGTGAATTTGAATTGCTGACCTTGTGATTCAAACTGAACTCGGATTCAGTGCATTATGCTGCAGCGCCACACCAGGACTCCAAAGAATCTTTGTTGTTGTTAGGGGTCATTAGGTCGGTTCCAACTCATAGCAACCCTGTATAGGGTTTCTGAGGAGTAACTGTGAGTTTGAACCACCAACCTTGTAGTTCAGGCCAACCTTGAGGTCAAGTGCTTATCTTATTATGCCACACCAAGACTCCAAAGACTATGGTATAATATAAATTGTTCTAAAGCAAATAAAGTTCAACTTTTTTGCAATTCAATATTTTTTTCCCCATGGGAAACATTTAACAGAATGTTCATCACAAACATTGCTGCGATAACTCATTTCCTCAAACAGTAAACACTTGTACACTAATAATGATGAACAAAGAGAGTTCAAACACTAACCTGTCCAGTGAGCCAGAGAGTAACCGCTGTCCGGAGCTGCTCAAACACAAACACGTCACAGTTTTGTGATGATTTTTCAGAGACACTAACAATTGTCCTCCTTTTAACATGTCCCAGACTTTCACATAGCGGCCTCCTGTAAAGAGAAGCCATCGTTAGCTTGATATTCTGCCTATCAATTCAAATGACCTGAGTGTGGAAGATGAGCGAGGAACTCCAGAGCCGGCCCACCAGTTTGAAATTCTGCCTCTACCACTTACTAAGTCTGACCCATTGGAACAGCATCCAACTCACAGGGCTGCTCAAATGGTTAAATAAGTTCACATTTGGAAAGTGCACAAGTGCCTAGCAAAATAAAAAATATAACCAGATGTAGGGTAAGAAAGCTATAAAAAAAAGCATTCCTTAAAAGGAATTTTGTAGACTAATGGAAATGGATAAGATAGATTTTATTTCATAACAATTTTGGGAATTCCAAGAAAACTAGAAAAACTTCTCAAATTTTTAATCTAAGAAGTGAAAGGATTCTTGTTGATTTTTAAGTGCCATCAAGTCGGTTCTGACTCATAGCGACCCTGTGCAGGGTTTTCTGAGGAACAGCTGGTGGGTTTGAACCACCAACCTTGTGATTCAGTCCAGTGATTAGAATCCAGCGCCACACCAGCAGGGATCACTAAATCCACTATTTAAAAAAAGTTTTCAACACGGCATCATTTCTTTCAACAAAAGCCTAGTGGGTAAAAAAAGTTCTAGTGCAACCTCTCATTTTCCAAGCAGTATAGTGGACGTAAGCTTAAGATCTCCATTCTTCCTGCAAATGAGTATATCTGACAAGGTTATCAAAGATACAGAACAGGACCTTAAAATTAAGCTTTAAAAAAACATCATCTATATGTTGTGAAGTTTGTTGTTGCGAAGTGCCATCAAGTCAGCCCATAGCTGTGCTGTATAGCGCTTCCAAGGAGCAGCTGGTGAGCTTGAACCGCTGACCCTGCAGTTCTTTGCAGTCTGGCACATTAACCCACTAGGCTCCACACCAGGACTCTACCGTCTATACAGACATACATATGTATATGTATGTATATATATACATATGTATATGCATATATATATATACACATATGCTATCAAGTACACATGTTGTTAAGTGTCGTAAAGTCAATTCTGACTCTTAGCAACCCTGTGTAGGATAGAATTTCTAAGGAGTAGTTAAACTTTACTGCCAACCTTTCAGTAAAGTCCAGTGCTTATCCTACAACATACCACACTATCTATAAATTTTTCAAATGTCTGTATACTAATTTTTGCTTTACTGACAAAAAGCCATTTATTTCTTCTACTATAGTTATGAAAATGCATTGTTGTTGTTAAGTGCCACTGAGTCAGCTCCAACTCATAGAGACCCTGTAAAGGGTTGCTGAAGAGCGGCTAGTGAGTTTGAACTGTTGACCTTGCTGGTCCTACAGAGCCACACCATGAAAATGGACTAGGCCAACATAAAACGAATACTTCAATTTTAATGTTATAAAACATGTATGACGACCCCTTTGCCTCTACATTATTTTTCCCACCAATATCAGCTATATGCTGATTAAAATCATTTCCACTTAAAGAATCACATAAAAGACAAGCTTGCTTCTAGGCCTGAAAAATCCTATTTCTTTAAAAGCCCACAGACCTCTTAAGCAGGAATAACAGAGGTGTGAGATCTAGTTTTCTAGGGTCAAACAATAAGGCACAATGCAAATTTTTAAGTTCTAGGATTTCAGGTCTATCATTTTACTAGCTTTGCTTTGCAGAGAGCAATTATAACCTTTATTTATTTCCTTAGCTGTAAAATCAGGAGAAAATTATGCAGAATTATACGGGGTAATAGAGACAACACTACATAATAGCATAGTACCGGGCTCACATTACTCACTGACTCATGACCACTCCACCCCTCTTTTATCAAATATCTAAAGAAAAACTTAGATATACAATGCAAATGTATATTGACAAATGAACTGGTATCAAGACCAATGATTTCAGTGAAAGCCATTTTTAAAACAAATAAAATACCTGCTGATACCAGAAGACCTCCAGAGGGGAAAAGCAGGACACTCTCCACTGGCTGCCCGTGCTCAATAGAGATAACACTCTCATTTGTTCGTGTGTCAAACATCTTCACAGTATGATCATATGACCCTAAAATGACAATTTTTAGATGCTGTGAGTTTCACCACTTAAAACTACATATATATATATATGTCTGTGTGTGTGTATGCCAGACATAAACGTTAAAAGGAGAAAAACCTTAGATGAAAACTGTAAGAGATACATATTTCATGAAAACACAGTGTCTCTGTCTATAGGGTAGACACGTGTCAACTCAGGTGACAAGGAGGGCAATATACAAGAGGTAGGTTGGCAGAAGAATGATGAAGACAGGTAAAGACAGTGACACAGGGAGGTATGCAAGGGCTAATGGATACAGCAGTAAATATTACATACACAACCTTGAAGCAAAGCAACAGTGTTCTGCAGGTAGACATATGGGCAGACACACAGGTGAACGGGTATGGAAGGAATCTGCTGCCAACACACCTATGAATGTGGTGGCACATCCAGCGGGCAAAACGATGACAGCTTCTTAAGACAGTATCAAGCACTTTAAGGGAATGAGTTGCAGGGCACAGGGGCTCAGGAGCATAGTCTCACAGGACACCATGGTCCACATGGTCCACAAAGACAACATTCTACATTCTATTCAGGTGAGTAGCATCTGTGATCTTTAAAAAGCTCATGAGCAGCCAGCCATCTGCTGCTACCGGTCTCTCCATGTGCAGAAGAAAGTAGAGTGATAAGAAATGAAGATGATTGGGGAAAATTAGCCCAATGGACTAATGGAACATGTGAACATCCGTCTCCATGACTGAGACCAGAACTGGATGGTGCCCAGCTACCATCTACGAACTGCTCTGAAAAGGATCACATTAGAAGGTCCCAGAAGAGTGGGAAAAAATGTGGAACAAAACTCAAAATTATAAAAAAATAAAAAACACCAGGCTTACTGGTCAGAAAGAGACTGGTAGAACCTAAGACTATAGTCCTCAATCACCCTTGAGGTCTAGAAAGGAACTCACCCTTGTGACCCATTTTTCAGCCAAGCAGGAGATAGGTACATATGGAAAGGAGACGATTACAACTAGATAACACTAGTAAGATATGCTCTCCATGGAATGGTCAATCACTCAAAATCAAAGGACCAAGTTGAGAAGGGATGGGAAGGTGGGTGGACTAGAAAGAGGAAGCATAGGGAGGAAGCGGAATAACTTTGTTGCAGGGAGGGGATTGCATTCATTGAGATAAGTGAGATGTATGATTTGCTGAATGGAAAACTGATGATTCTCTCTATAAACTGTCATTCAACTCACAATAAAAAGTTACAAAAAAGAAAGAAAACACAGTATCTCCAAGCCCTCTGCTACACTAATGTTTTTGAAGCAGCATTGTACTATACTTCACAGAATCTAACTAGTTCTGGTCTTCAGCTACTCCTGTACTCATAATACTGCACCCTGCTGAACAATCTCAGAACGCTTCCGCAAGCACTCAAAGACAGAACTGTATTGTCTGTATTTCTTAGCTGCTAGAGGCTCTTTTGAAACCAAACCCATTATAATGCTGACATAAAGACAGTCTGATATTTCCAAACACATATGGAGGACCATAGGAATCACCACCAAATGAAAAAGGAAGCAAAACAATCGGGCAAATGAACAGGAACATATTCCTTTATTTAAAAGTCATACCCCTCAATCCCAAAAGTCCCAAAGCAATATTAAAGTATAACACAGTTAGAGTACCTATGCCAGGAAGAAAAAAAAGTTCACTAGCCTGTTACGAAGAGATCCGGGTTCAATTTGCTAGCACATCCGCACCTCACGTAATCAGAATGCTCTTTAAATGTCAAGATTTCTCTGGAGTTTGGAATATCCCACAGCTTAACAGTATAATCATCAGCCCCAGAAACCACATGGTATTTGTCAGCTGTAAAATCCACTGTGTGAACCGCTCTGAAAGACAAAGGATCAGTAGATTAAAAAGCAAGGAAAAAAATATACTTTTGGCATTTTGTAACATAAAGATAACTCCTTTCCCGAGATAACACAAAGAAGCAGCTCAGTTTTCCAGGAATAACTGTAAGCGGAAATCACGTAAGAAAAAGAAAACCTTTAAAAGAGGTATTTACCCCAAAATCAATTTTAAAAATCTAAATACCCTGCACAGTGACATTAATAGGATTATTAAACAATAACCTTACAATTATATATTTTTAAAATATTTAACAATTTCACTTGGTTGCTTAATGAATGCTAGAGCAAAGGTACTTTAATTTTTTTGGGTAGTTTTAAGAAAAACTCTAAAGACAAATGACTAAGTAGGATCATGTAAACTGAACTTCAATAAAATATTTCAATCGAGAGAGTCAAATGCAAGGAAGCTTCAAAAAAATTCATGGAAAAATTTCATTATCTTTTAATTCCACTTTTCCATAAACTTTTTGAAGACCATTTACAAGAGACAAGTCTGAGTGCAATAATTTAAATATTTCACTAATGCAGTCAGACCACCCTGATAATGCACTACAAAAAACACTTCTGAGATTTTAAACTAATAGCAAATTTCTGCAAAGACATGGTGATCTTGTAAAAAAAAGTTTTAAGATAAAATTGCCCTAGTCATCCAGTTCATTAAAGGGCAAAATACCACAACAATCCAAGAAGAAAAGAATACATACCTCTTTCCACCTTGACTTCAAATGAACACCTCTAAGATAGTCCAGGGGAGCATGGTAGCTCTGCAGCATTCTCAGTACAGTCCGAGCCCCCCAGATGCTAAGTGGGAGAAAGATGAGACTTTCTGCTACTGTAAAGATTTTCAGCCTCAGCAACCCCTGTACAGGATCACTGAGTCAGAACAGACTCGATGGCACTTAGCACCAACAACAAAGATAGTCCAGGCCTAACTCTCAGAACAGTTGTTCAGTTGCTTTGACATCAGTTCACAACCTCAACGGGATCACATTTGAAAGCTATAGAATATCTCCCTAGATAAAGTGACACTTTCTAAAATGTTACATGCAATTCTAGGGAATTGATGAGCCCTTGAAACTGGACCAGAGGACAGAGATTAAGCAACCGGTCTTAGAAGTACCTACAGGACCATAACTTTCATGGAACTATGTTTTATCCAAAACATAGAGAATAGATTTTAACACAAAACAAAGGAACACACAAAAACGAATTGTCTCTTACTTTGTATGGCCTTCAAACTGTCTGAGAGGAGCCCTGCCACTGATATCAAACAGGTGAACTCCACCATCTTCACTGCCAGCCACCAGCAATTTCCCATCCTGGCGAAAAGTAGCACAGTACGCCGTGTCCTTAAATCGGGAAAAGGTCTTTATAGGTTCCTGGGAGTATCGGCCATACACATGAATCTATCACAAGATAAAAACAAGTATTTCAAAACAGTATTCCACCAGATAGCTCAAGATCAGTATTAAATATAAACTATTCAAAAGAAAAATAAGGAGATTTCATATTATCCTTACCCTCGAGGAAGCGGTGACAGCGTAATTATAAGGAGGTTGTGGGGAGAAGTCTACTTTTGATACTGCCCCGAACTCCTTTATCTGAACAGGGGTCTTAATTAAAAATAAAACTCAGTGTTAACAGAAATACAATGGCAAGACAAATTAAAGTATTATACATTATCTTACAGATCATTCTTTTAGTTCTTTGCAACATTTTTCAGGCTATATTGAATACAGAACAAAGAGCTCTGGTCTGGTAATGTAATGAGTTAAGTAAGCACTGAGCTGCTAACTGCGAATTCATTCATTCAAACTCACCAATCAATTCATGGTTAAAAGATAAGGCTATCTGCTCCCATAAAGATTTGTAATCTTGGAATCTCTAAAGAGCAGTTCCGCTCTGTCCTATGAGTCAGAATCAACTAGATGCCAATGGCTTTGGTTTGGTTATTTAGTATGTTGTTGTTGTTAAGTGCCGTCGAGTCGGTTCCGACCCATAGCGACCCTGTACAGGGTTTCCGAGGAGTGTAAATCTTTACGGGAGTAGAAAGCCTCATGTTTCTCCTGCAGAGCGGCTGATAGTTTCGAAGCGCTAACCTTATGGTTCGCAGCCCGATTCGTAACCACTACGCTACCAGAGCTCCTTGGTTATTTAGTATAGACGTATAAATAAAGAGCAAAAGGTCCATAATCCCATCACACAGCCTATCCTTTGTTGTTTATTATTAAGTGTCATCGAGTCAGTTCCAACTCACAGTAACCCTGTGCAGGGTTCTCGAGCAGCAGCTGGTGAGTCTGAACCTCCAAACTTGTGGTTAACAGTTCAGTGCTAGCCCTATAGTGACACACCAGAACTATCTTTATTGCCATTAATGGAAACAGAAAATGATACCCACTTTTTCTCTTCAGCAGTTCAGTTTCTATGATTCTTTGCTGGGCGGAGACGAAATTGCATTTACACCAGTGTATTTATCTATATAATTTTTAATCAACACAAAGATCATACCAGGCAAGCCATTCTGCATCTTAGTTTCTTTCACTCAATCACACATACTAGCTCATTTTTCATATGAGCAAATAGATTTACCATCCATTACAAGAAGACCCCATAACTTAATTGGCCTAATATTAATGAATACGGATTCCTGGTATGGTGCTGTGGGCTAATGTGTCAGACTGCAAAGTTGTTTGAACTGCAAGGTCAGTGGTTCAAGCTCACTAGCTGCTCCTTGGAAATCCTATACAGGCTTGCTATGGGTCGGAATCAACTCCACGGCACTTAACAATAACAACAACAACAATATTAATGAATACTGAGTTCTCAAAATTTCTGATATTAGAAATAATACTTCAATTAACATCTTCATGCATACATCTTAGCAAATTTGGGGGAATATGTTCTTTGGGCAAGTACCAAACTGAGACTGCAGGGTCAAAATGTATGTAATTTTTTAATCATGAAAAATGTTACACTCCAAAAGTCAATACCAATTTCCCTAAGTGAGGAGAAGAACTGATTTCATATCACGTTTTCCTTAGATTAAGACAAAAAACAAAACAAAAAATCTTCTCACATGAGATTCAAATTTAATTCATTTGGCACTGATTTGCCATCTACTTTGTGCTAAACTTTGTGTTAAACTGACTAAAACAGTGTAGATTTTTATACAAAAGCCAAGGAAAAATGTCAAATTCTATACCCAAAACATAAATTGCCTATAGATTTCTAAAAATGAGAGCAATTGCTAATTGCAATGTCAGTGGTTTAAACCCACTAGCTACTCTTCATAAACCCTATGTTGTTAAGTGCCACTGAGTTGATTCCAACTCTTAGGGACCCAGGTAAAGGGTTTCCAAGAAGCAGCTGGTGAATCTGAACCATTGACCTTGCGGTTCAAACCAACCTTTTATTCCAGTGCATTATCCTACAGCGCTACACCAGCACTCCCTATACAGGGTCACTAAGAGTCTGAAACAATTTGAATGTACTTAACAACAACAAATGTTTGCTGGAGAAACTGGCATAATTGCAAATCCCCTGCTCCCCAGAACCACCCAAACTTACCTTATAGTTGTTCCAGTATAGGGTGTCTTGGGTGATTTTCTCACCAAGTACAGGATATGTCTGAATAACTACAGGCTTATAACCAGCCATGATTTCATAGAATGCACTGCTGTCCGAAGGTCAATGGTTTAGAATTGATGTTAGAAACTATAGAGACTCTACCTTAATTCTGAAAAAGAAAATATACATATTACACTTTGGGCTATTAATGGCAGGGTCTGCAGTTCAAACCCGTCAGTCACTCCATGGAAATGAGACTTTCTGATCCTGTACAGATTTATTCTCCAAAACCCTGTAAAGGGTCGCTATGGGTCAGAAACAACTTGATGGCACACAACAACACACATATTACTGATAACCACGTACATAGAGTTAACAGTTTTCACTCTAATTTCTTTTAAAATAACTGTGTGGTAGTTTTTAGATTAGTGACCAATAAGAACCTCAACAAGATGGAGGGACACAGTGGCTGCAACATGCATATAGCAACAATTATGAGGATGGCACAGGACCAGTGTTCCATTCTGTTGTCCACAGGGTCACTATGAGTGGCAATCAACTTGACAGTACCTAAAATAACATATCTATTTAACTGTAACCATGAAGAGACCATCCTAAGGAAGCAGGGCTGTCATAAAAGTCTGCTCCACTGCACACAGACGCTGCACACCAATGTGCTACCTCTTCAACCAGCTTACAAACACTACGAACCAATCTTCTGGAGTCAAAACAGAGAGGAGCATCCTAGCACAGAATTTCTTCTTTCTCTTTTTTTGATCCAAAACCTTTAGGTGAAACAAGTACCAAAATGTCCTGACATTAAGCTTAGGATGAAATTTCGTCTATAAGGATATATAGTCCAGCAACCTGACTTTCTGAGAAAGGAAAGCTGAGCAGAATGCAGAAGCTTCCAATAAAACTGAGTTAAAAGTTAATGTACATACTAAAAATTAAAAACTTACGTGCATCAAAAGACTTAACCAGAAGAGTAAAAAGAGAACCCACAGAATGGGAAAAAATATTTTGCAATGACATATCAGACAAGGGACTCATTTCTAAAATATATAGGAAATTACAACACCTCTACAAGAAAAAGACAAAT